GAGAGGAAGTTCGAAAGGGAAAGCTCAAAAAAGACAATATCTGCTAGTAGTGGGTTTAGGTTGTTACATCTTCTCAACGTCACATAAGCTTTCTTCCCCTTCAAGAGACAAACAATAGTGCGAGATCCGTATATGTTAGCTAAGTTAAAGTCAAACATGACTTTTTCGCTTTTGCATGGACTCAGATGTCATTTTCTTAATACAGCTTCAAATCAGAAAGTGGGTATTGAATTTTGTGACAGTTCTTTCTTGGAGTGATTTAATAGTTGCAGAAAAATCCCAGCTTTGCAAATGAACCAAATCTTGATTGAATGAAAAAAGTGTTGACTTCCTTAGCAGTACAGTACAAGGATAAAACTAGAGCTAAAACAACTGAAGAAGGCTTTAAAGAGAAGGAAATAGCTTATTCAAACAGAATGGCAAAGCATAGAATTCATCATTCCTTACATCTGAACTGTATAAGCAAAACTTCTCCCACCAATGCAAGCCACTGTCTTTTCGAGTAGCATCGTTCTCTCGAAAAAGCGTGCAATCCAGAATTAGAGCCACCACAGACGCCACGGTTGCGTGAGACATGAAGATCACGCTGACCACATCATTAAACTGCAATGCAGAACAAGAAGAACAAACATTCAGTAAAACATTCAGTCATATAGTTGGTTCTTTGTTTTGTCTCCTTTTTTGCTTACCCATCCATGGCCAGAGTAGATGTGTTCTGACTTAAAATCTTGGCGATAATATTCTCTGAAGTATTGTGGTATGGACATACCCAAAAAGAAGGAACAGCCCAAGATGAATTTGGTTCTGAAACTGTTTAAGTTGCAGAATTGGAGAAAACCAAGCCCAGAAGAGGCTGGGGAAATTACATTGCTGTCAGTGTCAAAGGCAGCAATAATTGGAAGAGGAATAGAGGCGAGTTAGAGAGAGTGATACGTACAGACATAGCCAAAGAAGATACAGTACAAGGCAGCGATGATTGGAAGAGGAATAGAGGCGAAAAGTGCTCCAAATTTCCCTGGTTAAGATGATAGCCGGTCAAGAAGAAGTACGAATATTTTGTCTATAAAATCATGCTAGCATACCGAAAACAGAGAAGAAAATCATGAAGCCAGCTGATATTTGGATCACCCTTCTGCTACCAACTCTTGTCAAAGCTAATAGACCAGCATTTTCCCTACATATTTAAGAATCATTAGAGAAAAACATCCCAACATGTGATAAATGGGGTTGGCTCGCTATACAATTATGGTATTGGATGGTTTCCAGATGTTAAAATGTAACAGCTCAAGCCCATTGTTAATAGATATTGTCCTCTTCGAGCTTTTTCTTATAGGTTTTCCTTCACGATTTTAAAACGCGTCTACTAGGGAGTGGTTTCCACATCCTTTTAAGGAATGATTCGTTCTTCTCTCCAACCGATATGGGATCTCATAATCCACCCCTTGGAGGCCCAATGTCCCCACTGGCACACGACCCTGATACGATTTGTAACAGTCCAAGCCCACTACTAGTAGATATTGTTCTCTTTGTGATTTTCCTTCTGGGTTTCTCCTCAATGTTTTAAAACGTGTCTACTAGGGAAAGGTTTCCACACCCTTATAAGGAATGGTTCATCTCCTCTCCAACCGATGTGGGATCTCACAATCCACCCCCTTGGGGTGCTCAACGTCCTCGATGGCACATGACTCTGACACCATTTGTAACAGTCCAAACTCACCGTTAGTAGATATTGTTCTCTTTGTGATTTTCCTTCTGGGTTTCTCCTCAAGGTTTTAAAACGCGTCTACTAGAGAGAGGTTTCTACACTCCTTATAAGGAAGGTTTCATTCTCCTCTCTAACCGGTATGGGGATCTAACCTAAAATGTTTTGCAAGGAGCTTGTGATACAATTTTGTTAAGTTATGCAAACTAATGAAATATATTCTACTCTTACACAGATGCACAAGTGCCAGTAACAGAGCCAAACACGCCATTGAGCAAAACTCCTACTCCCTGAAATTGAACAAGAATTGCTTAGAACATAAAATTCCAACACTAGGGAAAATTAGACGCTGATGGACACATCTTACCAACCAACCACTACCACGGCTGATGATCGACGCAGGCACCGGAGTTGCACTGCCATATCTCGACGTGGCGAAAAACGTTCCAGTACTCTGTAACATCTTAATATCAGAAGCAAGGCAACTAGAAGGCACAATAGCTAGCAGATGAAAAAGATAAGGAATATATCTCAAGTGAAGAGCTTGTAACTTGACCTCAAAAAGTGAAACAACAGAAGCAGCCATCATTGCAAAGGATTCTCCAGCATTGAAAGTGGGGCCTCCCCATTGAAATGGATAGGGAATGTAAATCCTGCAGGTAATCAGATCATATAGACCATAAAAACATTTCCTAATGAACATCTGAGTCAGTAGCTAGAGTTATACTCACCAAGGAGCAGTACTCAAAAGTCCAGTTCGATCCGTGCGACAACTTTTCTGAGTATTTGTGGGTTTGTGATTATAAACAGTACTTGAAGTTAGGAGCTGTGCATATAACCAAATGATAGCAATTGATAACAGCACTGCATATCTATCATATATTGGCTTCTTTGTTTTCAATAAATGAGGAAGATACTGCAAAACCACAAACCAAACAAGAGAAGTTTTTGATACCCTTTAGGTGCATAGTGAAGCTGAAAGATGGATAATATGAGTTTTTACTTGCCTGTGAGATGAAAACTACAATAATCAGTCCTGGAAGGCCAATTTCAACACATTTTGCCACCTAAAGCACCAAACAACAGAGGAAATAAGCTCTCTAGAGCTAGTTGATGAGATAGAAAATTGATAGCCAAGGCAAGATTAAAGACAAATGGCTATCTATTTCCTTACCATGGGAAAGCCAAGATGATAGAGACCAAGTCCAGTGAAGGTTACACAGGGAACCACAGAGAGAGGGCTGAGAAATCTAATCCAGAAGTAATTTTTAAAAGAAGTTACAACAAGTTCAACATGGTTTAGAAACATACAAACTAAGCATTTACCCACCTCACAGTATTTCTCCAAAAGCCAAGGAAACCCATAACCATTTGAAAACATGAAGCCACTATAAGAGCTCCTTGTATTCCTTGCATGGTTTGAATGAATCTCTGAAGTATACAACAAGTAAATGCCAAGAGTTAAAGGAGAAGATAGCACATAGTTGTTTCAGAAGAAGTAGCAGAGTCTTACATCTTGAGGATCTGTCAATGAAGCATATCTCTTAGCCAAAACAATGGAGATGGTAGGAACAAGATAGGCGTATGAACCAACGACCACCACTGGCAGTCGAGTCCCGAACAAAGACTGAAAGAGTGTGTTCAATCCAGAAACAAATAGCAGGGTCTGAATCACCTTGGCCTTCTCAGCCTGAGATATCAAAACCCAACAAGCTAAAGGCATTTTGAGAAACTTCAAGAAAAAACGTTGTAGTAGAAATGCAAGAACATCTTACATCGCTGCCGCCCATTTGGGGAACAATCAAACTAGGAATCAGAACACTGAAACCAAGTGTTAGAACATAATGCTGAAAACCCAACATAAAGGCCTCCGCTGAACATAATGAAAGATTCATCAAAACTGAAGCAAAATAGAAATGGGAATGAAAGTGAAAGAGTATGAGAAAGAACACAGACGCCATGGTGGAGGGCTGTTGATGCAGTATTGGATTCCGGGTAGCTGTTCCTTCACTGGGTGAGGCTGAACCGGATCCTCGGCAGGTTTGTTAGCCATGGCTCACTAAAGTGATATCAGTTTGCAAGATTGAAGAAGAAACAGGGGACAAATGCATGAGAATTAGGGAAGAAACTGTATATAAATTGAATTTGAACAAAACCGACAGTTACAAAACTTATAATCTCGCATTTAAACTCCATCATTCCAATATTGATTACCAGAATCATAACTCACGTTTTTATATTTGAAATTAAGTGGTTTTTGTATTAAAAAAAAAAAAAAAAGTGTTACATTTCTGCTCCATGAGGTGATGGGCAGAACAGAACATTCGTCTGTGAACTCCAAAGGACACACTGTGAAGGAGAGACAGTAGTTGATAAACTGGCTGTTGCTCGTCTGTTATTCCTGATTATGGACTGCCTTTGTTCCATTTTATTTTATTTTTATAATCCATTCAATTTCTTTATTTTTTTTTCATAATTAAAAAATAGATTCAGAGAGGTGGGTTAATCTGAATGACAACATCTCTCTAATAGGTACATTTTAAGAATGTAAGGTTGACGGCGACATATAATAGTAAAAGCTACAAATGATATCAAAATCAGAAATGGAGCGATGTGCTAGCGAAAACGCTAGACCCTAAAGAAATGGGTTGTAAGGTATCCTCAAAACCAATCTATTGTTATATTAGTCCTCTTAATTTGGATGAGTTCGGTATCATTCATGTACCTCTCGTTGACTAAAAGAAAAGAAAAGAAAAGAGGTGAAAAAGGTTAAAAAGAGGATGTGGATAGGTGGGTTAATCCCAATGGCAATAGATAAAATAGGTATCCAATTTTGAAGCTCAATGCTTTGCGTGATCCTCTGGAGTGAAGCCATAATGACACTAAACTCCGATCCACCAACCACAGCCAACTCGACCAAAGCTCACACTAAAATACAAGCAAAGCAAGCAAAGAAACAAAGGAAGGCGCCGTTTCCAACGCCCCCACACCTCACTCCCTCCATCCTTTACCGCTTCTGTTTTGCATGTCCCCCAACCAAGCCAATCCTGATACATGGATCCACGCATGGCAGCCACTCACCCCCTAGCCATCCCTCTCTCTCTCTCTCTCTCTCACTGGCATTGGTGCCCATCCCATCCTCACCCTCAGCCCATTGATTCTTCCATTGGATATGCGTTGGCCTTCCCACATGTCTCCTTTCTCTTCTCCTTTACTCCACGTACCCCACCGTACACTTCCACCTGTCCCTTTCTCCCCCCTTTTTGCTTCATCTTCCCCTTCCCCCTATTCCCCTATTCCCCACTTCCCCCACCCTTTCCATTCCTCAACTTCCTTTTCTCTCCCCCTCTCTCTCCGCCCCACCGCCACCATGATCAAGACCCTCCCTCCCTACACCTCCACTGACAAGACGGCCGAGATCATGTCCAAATACCGGCCGATTGCCCCCAAGCCCGACTCCCCCACCGCCTTTCACTCTCACAACATTCCCCACTCCGCCTTCCTTACTAATGTATGGCCGCACTTGCAGGCCAGGCCCACTCGCACCCGTAAGCGGGGTCGTTCTACACCCATTTCGCTTCACCCCTTGAAGCGATCCAGGACTACTCCTTCCGCTTCGTCTCTCCACGCCTTTTCCTCTGCTTCTTTACTTCCTCGCCTTTCTATTGCAGCTCTTGACGGAGGCGCTGCTGGGTTTGAAGATACGCCTGTGGGTTCTAATCTGGTGACGCTTCCGCTTCTTCCTTGTGGTCCGCCGTCTTCTATTTCTGAGGAGAACTGCCGCGGCTCTGAGATTAACTTTATTATGTCGTTTGATGATGAGAAGGGGTTGGAATTGAATAGTGCTGCAGTTTGTGAAATTCCCAAAGAGAAGGATCTGTTGCAGCAACTTCAAGCGCCGGTGTCCACTTGCAACGTTATAACGCCGTACCCTGTTCGACCTGTTGGCTCGATCATCCTCGTTGGGTGCATCAATAAAACCCAAACCGCGAGTCACTCAACCACTCCTCAGCCGCCGAAGAACCCAGATGAAGTGGAAAAGGAGGTTGAATCGGAGGTGTTACCAGCGGTTATATCGGACTCGAACAACAAAGTGAGAATGGCGAATTCTGCCTACAAGGAGATGGTCGGGCAGCCAGAGTGCCCATGGCTGGAGTCTATGGTGAAAGGAGACGAACGACGGCTCAAAGGGAGAAGAATCGGCGGCGAAGTGATGCTCCAACTCTCCGACGCGGCGGCGGTTCCCCATTCCTCTAATGGGTTCTCTTGTTGGGTCAGGATCGATTGGGGAAACGGCGGCGGAAAGAAAAATTCCATCACCGCCTATTGCGATGTCGTGAAACTTTCCTGCGTGTCTCGAGACTACCTCTTCACGTGGAGGTTCCACACTCAAAAAACAAAACATATCAATGATGCTTCCAATCCCATTTGTATAAATATTTGATAATCAAATCTAAATGTACAAAGAACAAGAAGAACAAAAAAGAGCCTCAGCCATAGCCATAGCCTTAGCTCTACTTAGTTTTGTGACTTTGTTGTCTCTGAACCACATCTAGAAATTACGTAATCCGTAAATGTTTATGTATATTTTAGTGTCGAATTACAAGAGGGTCATATAGCCATAAAGAAACCGTAAATGTTTATGTATATTTTAGCCTTAGTTTTACCTAGCTTGTTTGAATTCAACAACCAAAGCGGAAAACAAGAGAGACCCACACGATAACGTCCTTTGTTTTTAGCATGACGTGCAAATTTCAAAGCAATTTCTGCAAAAAGGGAGCGTTGTGCTGAAGTTCAGGTAAAGGCACAGCAGAAAGACGGGAACAAAAAGAAAGACAGCTGAAAATATGCAAAAGGGTCTGCGAGTGCGTGGTTCTTTAATGGTTTGCCTCAAGCTGGCTCAGGTCTCCTTTTTCTTTGATGAGCTGACTGTGGTGATGTTTGCAGTAGAGTCGGCCTTCGTGTGCGATGTAATTTGATGGGCTGATTGTACATCCGCCATGGCAGCACTTGAAGCAGCTCTTGTGGTACGAGGTTCCATCCACTAAAACCTGAGAAACAAAGCTTCAAATGATGTTCTGAATCCACAATTATTCGTCCATTTCAGCTCACATTTACCTTCTCGGTCGGATAAACAGTGTTGTTACAGCCAAGGCACTTGTCTTTGGTGCCGACAAACATGCTTGCAACCCTGGTCGCCGCTGGTTTCTGTCAAATGATGTTCAGTAATCACTTACAATAACAGGGTAAAACAGAGTAATTAATTAGGTGCACCTCAGAATCAGCTGGCTTCTTCCCAATCTTCGGTGTTCCTAAAATCAAGATAGAAAGAATGTTAGTTTGAGATTAGTGATGGAATACCAACTTAGTTTCTTTTCTTAATACCTTCGAAGCTTTTGTTTAAGCTTCCTGTTCTTTTAAAGAGCTGATCGAAGTGTGGGCGGCAATACAGAACCCCTTCAAACGAATTGTAATTGCTTAACTGCAAATCAGATCCGTTAATCAGTGAATCGTTGAATTCAAATTCATCCATAGCCCACTAAAATTGAGCTGATCTGAGAGCCCATTTCAAGAAATCGAAATGAATGTAGCAGCCCAATTAAGAATTAAGTTCATGGATAGATGAGAGTTGAAATGAACAAGGTTTGATTACCTTGAGAGTTCCTTTGCAGTGGTGGCAGCGGAAGCAAGCTTTGTGGAAGACACGATTGTCGGCAGTGAGCTTGTCGACCAAATAGACAGTCTTGTCGCAAGCCATGCACTTCTGGGTGGTTCCTGCGAAGGCCATGGCTGTGGGTAAATGGGTGGTTGAAAAACTCAGAGCCAGAGAAATGTGAGTGAATTGTGAGTCGGTGATGCGAGGGAAGGAGGCGGAAGAAGAAGACAATGTGAAGGAGATAAGGAAGGGGAAAGGGACACAGAATGGATTCAAAGATTCAAATTGAGAAATGTTAAGGTTGGAGGGCGTAAATGGTAATCAGTTCGTCTGAATTTGCAAGCTCTCCCATATCTGAACGTGCTTTTACACTCTTACTTTTGGGCTTCCTTTCAAAGTTTTTGTACCTTATAAGAAACAGGTTGCCTTAGTAGATATTGTCTTCCCTAAGTATCTGTTAGGGAGAGATTTTTACAAAGAATATTTCATTCTTCTCTCTTTTGTGCCCAACATCCTTGCTAGCTAGCACACCACCTTGTGTTTAGCTCTGATACCATCTGTAACGGATCAAGCCCACCGTTAACAGATATTGTTCTCTTTGGGTTTTCTCTTTCGCTTTCCCCTCAACGTTTTTAAAACGCATAGTCGGGAGAGGTTTTCACACTTTTATAAAGAATATTTCGTTCTCCTCTCCAATCAATGTAGGATCTCACACCAACCAGTCACACCTCTTTTATATTCTTAAAGTTCATAAAACCTATTAAACATAAACCTAAAGTTCAAAACTTATTTGACATCGTCATGGTTACAATCATACAAGTTCTATTGATGATGGTTAGAGTCCCACATTGACAGATTAAGATAAAAATCATGGGTATAAAGCGAACACGACACTATTCCATTAGAATGATGTCTTTTTAGGGAGACTAGTGCTCATGCTCAAATTAGAAAATATCATAACAAAGTAGAACAGACTTTTCAAAATAAGAATTTTATGGAGTTTAATTAAAACTAGAAATAAAATTTAATATTACACGTTGGACTTATTTTATTTTAATCAGTATATGTTTGCTTGTTGAGGAATTAAAACCTCCTCTTCAAGTTATACTTACAATTTATTTAACCAATTTCATACCCATTCTCCCGTCTCTTACAAAGTCAAACAAATCAACAGGCCACGAACCTTTTTATTCTATTAAATATAAATATATATATATATTTTAATTTTGAAGATTTTAATTTGACCAAACTAACTGCTTGGATCTGGATACCATAAATGGTTGTAATGCTCATCATTTCCTTCCATCAATCCACCCAAACCAACCTCTTCTTCCAAACGGGTCGACCCTTTTCTTCTCCATCACTAATGACTCAAGAATCGCTGTCCTCTAATGGCAGCCCCCATTGTACTCCAAGAAAGGCCAGAAATGGCCTCAAACCCCACAGCAAAGACAAGAAGAACCCTTACTCCGACCGTGGCCTCGACAAATTCTCTGCCCTTTTAACCGACCTTGAAGAGAAAAGGAAGAGAATTTACGCTCAAACTGACCCGGAAAACATTGTTTTGGTCCGTTTTGCTTACAAGAATTCAGATGAGTGTGTTCCTGTGGTTGTGAAACAGAAGGAGAAGAAAGAGGAGAAGCGTGTGAATGATATCAAACCAGCGATAACCCAGAAGCAGGACGACAAGAAGAGCCTCGTACGAGTGAGAACTTTGAGGAAATTGAGGAAACCAGGTTATTATGTTACAGCCATGGTGATTTTGATTCTGGTTTTGTTGTGTGTTTTTGGGAGATCGGTGACGATTATGTGCACTTGTGTGGCTTGGTATTTGGTCCCTGTTTTGAAACAGAGTTCGTCGAGATCAAGAACATCAATGAGAGGAAAGGAATATGCAAGGATTTTGACTCGAAATAAGAATGAACAACCAATTTGATCTTTGGTTGTGGATAAGATTGTTTAGTTTGTTGTTTTTGTTTGATGTTTGATGAGGTTGGATTTGAAATTGGATTCGACTTCGATGAACAATGGGTAATGTAAATTAATTAGAGGGGGCAGTTAGGGAGTGAAATGTGTTAATTACAATCACATTTAGGTTCTAATTAAGCTTTATGAACATTAATGATTCTTCTACCAAATGGAAGGTTGGGCGTTGGAGTATGACTTTTTCAATGGTTATTAATGCTTCAATATTAATGCCAAATTTCATTTCATTACTTTATTTTTCTTTTTTATATAAACTTTTAAGCAATTTAAATGTGATTCTCATTGAACGACTAACATTTCCGTAAAAGGCTTCCCCTCTTTTTTCTCAAGGTTTTAAAATGCATGTGTCAATGTATCAGGGAGAGAGATTTTAAAACGTGTATGTTAGGGAGAGTTTGTCGAACAGTTAAAAGTAATGTTTCGTTCCTCTCTCCAACCGGACCTCACAATCCACCCTTTTGTGGTACCAATGACCTCACAATATCCTCCCTAGCACACTGCCAAATGACTAAATCTAGTATTCTTTGTAACAGTTGAAGCCCTTCATGAGTGTTTCCCCATATTACGGGCTCTTATACCATTTGTAACCGCCAAAACCCTTCAAGGACCAATCGAAGTGGGATCTCACAATCCACCCTTTGGAGGGTTCAATGTCCTCGTTCCTATTGTATCTGGGTTCAATGTCCTCGTTCCTATTGTATCTACCCCAATGTCGAATGTACATGTCCTCGTAGATGCATAACAATGCATGCACTAAAGAATATGAGAGAGGAGAGAGAAAATTACCGGAGAAATATTAGTTTAAAAGTTTTATTAACAACCAGAAAGAAGAATAAAAAAATTTGAAAGTAATTAGGATATATATATATATACCCGATTTTAGTTTACTAAATATAGTTTTACTAAATCTTTACCGTATATATCGGATCATTATAAAAATATCATACCATAACTTTATTAGAATCTACTATATATATCTTTTTTACAAAATATCTATGGTATATATCTCTATTAGTTATTTACTATAAATAAGCATCAAGCTTCATTAACCTTTACAAAATATCTATCGTATATATCTCTATTATTTACTATAAATAAGCACCGACTTGCTTTGATACCATTCATATATCTCTATTAGTTATTTACTATAAATAAGCACTGCACTCCAGGTGACTTGCTTTTGATACCATTCATATCGGCCCAAGTTTTTCAAGGGCTCTTTTCAGAGTATATATCTCTATTGGTTATTTATTATAAATAAGCACCAGAGTATGTATCTCTATTAGTTATTTACTATAAATAAGCACCGCTCCAGGTGACTTGCTTTTATACCATTCATATCAGCCCAAGCTTTCAGCCCAAGCTTTTCAAGGGTTCTCTTCAGAGTTTTAAAATGTGTCTGCCCAAGCTCTTCAAGGGCTACTTCATTAACTGCCCCACATGTGACTTGCTTTGATACCATTCATAACAGCCCAAGCTCTTCAAGGGCTCTCTTCAGAGTTTTAAAATGTGTCTGCCAAAGCTCTTCAAGGACTCTCCTCAATGTGTATGTTAGGAAGATGTTAAAAATGTGTCTGGAGATGTTTCTATCCCTCTTGTCCTTCAAGGGCTTTAAAAGGCTTTCCTTAAAATTTTAAAACGCAAGAGAGATTTGTTCACCTCTTATAATGAATGTTTCTAAAATATGTCCTTTAAGGTTATCCTCCAGATTTTTAAATACATATATTAAGAAAAGGTTTCCACACGTCTGTCTTATAATAATGTTTGATTCCCATGATACCATTACAACCATTTCCTCTTGGTTCCAAAGAAATAATTTTAAAACCGTTAATTCTCATACTCTATTAATATTTAAGAAATGTAAAGAATCAGCATTTTTATTTATTTTGGTGCAAGTCCATATACAATTTGTCAGTCATCTACAAACAGACAAAAAATCCAGAAACAATAAACAAAATAAAAAGGATCTATAATGGGTTCAATCAAATGCATCTGAAATGGAGCTCCAATCATCGAAAGACATATGATCAAAGATATCAGGCTCTTCAACACTTGGTGTCGGCCACTTCATTGGACACCATTCCGCATCATTTGAAATCCTCTTCTCTAAATCCTTCTGGCACCTCACCGTGTGCTGAAACCCCAACAATGTGTACTTAGCAAGCTCTAATCTCTCACAATATGTCATCTTCGAGAACCCAAATCTGTCAATCCAAATGTTGAGCGCCTCACCAACAGCCGCCAGTGTCAGTGTCTTCACTCCCAATTTCATCAGCTGTCGTTCCAGCTCGTTCATCAATGTGCGGCACATCCCATGCCGCCGGTGTCTCAATCGAGTCACAACAAAAGGAACTTCAGCCACTTCCTCCCCATAAACTCTCACTGTTGCCACTGTTGTTACTGCGTTTTTCCTCTCCAAAATCACTGTGTAGAATCCTTCAAAGTTCAAGCGCTTCAAGTTTGATCTTCTGCTGAACACAACATCTTCCATCAGCTCGTGGTTCGTATTGGGATCCTTCGAAGGCCGAAACCCCCCACGCATTACTCCAAGAGCAGTGTTCAGCCTCTTCCTCTGATGCTCAGACATGGTGTCTGTATGTTTCATCAATGTCCATGTGAGATTGCCCTGTTCTACACCTACTGGGTTTCGTTTCCATAAAAGCTTCTGCAGACCCATGTGGATATCCTCGCATCTTTTGGTGCAAAACCAGTTTTCTCTATCCATGGTTTGATTTGGGTTACCATCTTCAAGAAATTGAACGCTCCTTACACATCCAATATGAACATTCTGCTCACATTGAACACATTTGACCAAAGAGGCATCGGGTTGATGATCAGAAAAAACCCCATCGAAATTATATGGAACTTGGCCACAAATTTTGCAGCAGCATGATGGGCAGGCCCAATTCCCAAGTGGGATGCCCTTGAAACCGAGGCAGCCGCCATGAAAAGCAGCAGGGCACATAACGCACAAGATCAACTCGCCCCCAAAATGACAAATGGAACAGATGCTGTCGTTTTTGTCCATACAGAGCGTGGTGGTAGTTTTATTCACCTTTTGATCATTACATTTTGTCTCGTTCTGATTTTGATTTTGATTTTGATCAATTTGCATTTGGCAGTCCAATAAGGATCGCCCATCTTCCAAAAAGATATTGGCCGCCGGCCTACGTTTTGTACTGCCTGTGTGAGCCTCAAAATTGCTAATAGAGAACACTTCAGAGCAACAATCGCATTTAATAAGGCCTTCATTTGTTATCGATCCCCAAGCCATTAATGGATCGTTCTTCGATGATATTTTGTAATACGCCCGATCTCCCGGCGACACTACGCTCTGATCGATCAAATTAGACAAGGCTATTCGTGGGTGCCGCTGTGAAGTACCTCCAGCCGCTGCCTGCGGAGGCGATTGCGGGGTTTTGATGTTGCCCAAATTTCGCAGCGGCGGCGCTGGTGATTTAACGCATTCCGAGTCTTCCGAGTCGTCATCAGGTTTTTTCAAGAAGGGCGCAGTTTCTTTTCCTTCCCCTACGGAAGGGTGTGGGGAATGTTCGGAAACTGTGACGGTAGGCAAGGCGAGGGCGGCGCCGCCTTGATCAATACAGGTTTTGCAGGCGGTTCTGAGAGAAATATAAACCCTACCGTTTGGGCATTTGTATCGTAACTCATGCTTAGTTTTCTTCTGAATGTAGTAAATCTTCCATCCCATGGACAGAAGATGACCTAATGCATCCTCCTTGACGGCCGATTTCTTGAGAGTGGTGTTCTTGTCAAGAGCAATCATGTACCAATTGACAACCGCCTCAGGCGCGTACTTCACTCTGAACAGTCGGTGTCTTGTCGGCACATTGCTTCCGGTTGGAGAAGAATGACTGTCGTTGTGGACATTGCTTCCATCGCTGGTTTCTTCGAAGATTTCCATAGTTTCATAGGGAGAATGGAGGGGGAAGGATGAGGGTGAAAGATATTAGGGTGAAAATTGCAGAATCATTGTGAAAATGAATTAAAACAAGAAAATATTTGATTAGAACAAGAATCGGTTTAACCCAATTGCCCAGTCCACCAGTCTTTATATTATTTTGGTTTGATGTTTATTTCTCTCTTATAACTTTTCTCCTAAATATCAGTATATTATTTTAGATTTCATTTATTCTCTCAAATCTCAATTTTAGATTTCATTTTCTCTCTAGAATCTTATGGATTTTTTTTTTTTAATGAACTAATAATAAAAATGACCGGTTCATTCGGTAAAAAAAAAAAAAAAAAAAAAAAAAAGAAATCTTGATAAAAATGATAATCTGCAATTCCACTCTTATCTTTTTCTCCACTCATAAATAAGTGGAAAAGGAAATGTCTGAAACTGTCAAGAATCTATTTATCTATTACACAACAGTAAAAAAAGAGATGAGAGCAAAGAATTATGACTACAGAGACAACACAAACAGACATTGACTTACTCATGTTTGAGATTCACCCTTGTATAAATCCTTTTGATATTTCAAGGCTTCAAAAATAGCGCCAACCCAAACTTGGGATAATTTGCCAAAGCATTCGTGTCAAATGCACCAGATACAGTAAGAAAAGACTTCGGTGTCAGCTGGTGCTGTAAAAGAGCCCCGAGATTGCCATGGTTGTTAAGTTTAGCTTTCACAACTGTTTGAGAGTCAACCACATATGAACATCCGACTGTCAATGTATTCTCATTCGTGGAGAACTTTCTGCTGATTTCTCCCACAACAGCTCCCCCATTCAGCTGTTTGAAACGGTGCAAGTATGCCACTCTTACCGAGTCCCCTTTATCAGCCCTACAATAGAGAGAAAATTGATGAACAATTAAGTGGCTTACTTTAACTCCAAGATGTTTCACATATCAAGTCTTTATGATTCAAAATGATGAATACACCCAGGAGGTTCGAACTTTAAAATAAATGCGATGACTGCTCAGCAATCATCCTGATATTATTACCCATCAATCTTCATGTTGGTCATGTAATAATACAATAAAATTAAAATGCGTGCATCTAGACATCAAACTAATCAAGGCAAAATCACAATGAACAACCCTTAGAACAAGCACTTACAATATTGCTGATACATTGGAATCTGCCTTTGGAACACTCACCCCAGCATTATACTTTGCAAAAAGACCAGAATTTGTTAAATAACTAGCTTCCGCTCCAAAAGCGATGTGGGGTGTCCCAAGGGTTGCTGAAATATCTACTGAAGGAGACTTGTTCAGAGAAAAGGCTGTAGTAAATGTAGCATGCTCATGGAAATGTTGAACCTCCAACTGTAACAGATGAACTTGCAGATATTAAATCTCAAAGGTTGTGAGCTTGCAATTTATAGGGGAAATCATAAATATAGTTTCATCTCAAGTCTACTTTGAAAACATTACCTTGCCGGAGTTGTAATCTGGGAGCCTCAATGAAGCAATGACATGTGTGGATGGCAGAATATCTGTAACTGTGAGGACTGAGGAGATCTGCATGAATGATGCAATGTTGGAAAATATAAAGAATACACATCTAAATCTTATCAGGAAATAAGGACAAAGATCAACTACATTTGATTCGGTGTCAAATTTGAAATCAAGAACAGAGTTCTTATGCTTGTATTGTGCTGCCACATTGCCTGTGTAAAGACCTCCCCTCTTGACCACAGTCGAGTTCAGGCCCTAAGACAAAAGAGAAATTACTTATGTTTCACTTAAGTCGAGTTCAGACACCCAAATCGATGGCAAGTTTTCACTAAGATTCTTGTCAACATTAAAGCAAGTAATAATACTATCAACAATTTTAGTAAATCAGGCTTCCGGATCGCATATAGAATTTCGAGGAAGACACAGCCTAAGGCAATGCTGGCACACAAATGAACCAAAGTTTTCAAGTCGTTTGAAGCAGTAGACCTACATCCTCAAAACTTAATGTGATTCAAAGGCAACCAGGGATGGTTGAGATTTGACCATTCTTTACATCTTGTATCCAATTTTACAAAGGCCTATTCCAAGGTAATAGATAAACACAAGTTAAACATTTAAATTTATAACTACATAAACATTTTCAGTCATAGCCCTCCAGAAACGCACCATCCATTGATCAAAGTTGCCACTGAAATGAAATAAAGAACTCGTCTAGTCTTCAAGAAGATAAAACAGGACAGCAAAGAAAAAAAAAACATATAAACTACAGAATCAAGATGTAAACGATACTGAATCAAACACGAAGCAGATCAAGGGCAGAAAAGAAAAGAAAATGATGTGAAGGCGTTGAATACCACTCCAATGTCGGAAAAGGAGGCGATGGTAAGCTTCTGGTCATTGCTATAGTCCTTGAAAAGTAAGTCTGCAAATCATGGAAGAGTTTTCTAATAGGCTGGCGATAAAGCTAATTCCAGTAACCAATGAGATGAAGTTATAGCAGGAGGGGGAAGGAGCATAAGCTTTTTACCTCGGCCTTGCTTGCCTATGTCGGAGAAGAGTCCGGGACCTTTACCGTTCATCTTGCAGGCCTTAGGGTTTAAAGAATTGAAGAGAAATTTCCAGGCGGGTGACGAGAAGCGAGGGTTTTTACAGAGGGGGTGGGAATTTCAAAAACCCTCGCATTCGATTTTTCATATCCCGCGGGGTTTTTGTTCAGCGAGAAAAAAGAAAAGACAAAGGAAAAAGGTAAAACAAAAATAATGCTCTTGTTGAGAGTCGAACTCAAGACCTCCCGCTTACTAAACGGGTGCTCTAACCAACTGAGCTACGAGAGCATTTTTGCTGCTGGAAATTTTCATAATTAACAGGGTTTTTGTTCGGCTATAAAAAAGAACAGAACAAAAAAAAAATAAAGAAAAAAAGTAAAAAAATATAATGCTCTCGTTGAGAGTCGAACTCAAGACCTCCCGCTTACTAAACGGGTGCTCTAACCAACTGAGCTACGAGAGCATTTTTGCTGCTGGAAATTTTCATAATTAACAGGGTTTTTGTTCGGCTATAAAAAAGAACAGAACAAAAAAAAAATAAAGAAAAAAAGTAAAAAAATATAATGCTCTCGTTGAGAGTCGAACTCAAGACCTCCCGCTTACTAAACGGGTGCTCTAACCAACTGAGCTACGAGAGCATTTTTGCTGCTGGAAATTTTCATAATTAAACTAAACGGGTGCTCTAACCAACTGAGCTACGAGAGCATTTTTGCTGCTGGAAATTTTCATAATTAAGAGGCTTTTTGTTCGGCTATAAAAAAGAACAGAACAAAAAAAAAAATAAAGAAAAAAAGTAAAAAAATATAATGCTCTCGTTGAGAGTCGAACTCAAGACCTCCCGCTTACTAAACGGGTGCTCTAACCAACTGAGCTACGAGAGCATTTTTGTTTCTGAATATTACCATATTTTATGTAATTTTATTTTTTATTTATAAATAGTTTTGATTTAGTTCAAGTTGGCATACATGTATCTACCCCAAATAGTATTTTAGTTTATGTAATCTTAACTATATAGTCTGTGCATTTAATCCTTTTATTTACTTTTGTCTATATGCCATTAAACACAAGAAACAGCTATTAAAAAAAATTATGAAACACATTTACTTTTGTATTTATACCAATAGATTTTGTAATGATAATTATTTCTATTTAATAAAAATAAGTAGATAAGTAAAATAATTAGAGATTAGAGATTGATATTTACTTTTAATGATTTTTTATAGTAATGACTCAATTATCATAACATCCTTTTTCAACTCTAGATGTAAATTAATAAAAATATTATTAATTTTTGTACTGTATTAAAAAAAATCTAAAAATACCCGTAAACTTAAAAAAATATATATATAAAAAATAACGATGGTTAATATTTTTGTTTAAAAAGTACCATTAAAATTTGAAAAGAGACTTTAATAGTGTTTCAAAAATAGCATTTAAACTTTTTAAAAAATAGTTGATGTTTAACAAATATGCCTAAATATTTAAAAATAACCTTAAAAAGTTTATATATATTGATAGTAATTTAATGTTACTTTTTTAAAAAAAAATAAATTTTAAGTTAGAAGTGTATTAATAAATTTTTTTGAAATATTAATAAAATTCAACAAAATACTATAAAACTAATCCAAAAATATTTTTAGACCAAATACAAAATTCAAGAATATTTTTATTAATTTGTCAAAACAAAAAAATGGGTGGACCAATACTAATTATTATTTTTTTCCTTTTAGGAACACAAACTTTGAGGAGTGCTATTTTGTTTTTATATATAATTTAGCATAAAAAAAATAAAAGTATAATAATTTTGAAATATTTATTTAAAAAATATGAAGGAAGAAAACTGGAAAAAGATAGAAAATGGGATTCAAAATTGAGAGACAAAGCCCTCCAATCCACGGTAACTGTAATAGCCGTCAAAATGGTCCAAACCAACCAATTATAAATAGATTTCGCAGAATCAGCCACCGGAGCCCATGGAGTCCAAAAGAAGCTGCCTGAGCTGAAGATTCAAAGCTTGTTTTCTCCTCTGTGTTAATTGGACGAACTAAACCTCTCTGTTCATTCTTCATTGCTCACGTTTCCTTGTTTCTGGTAATAGTAGAACAAGTGAAGCGCAATTAGAAACTATTGTATCAGATCGAGGACTTGGAGGAGGCCGATTCTTTTCATCTTCTGACTCCGTTTTTATCGCCATTTGTCGTGGCTTGATTTCTGTGCCGATCTTGAAGCTGAAGCAAGATCTAGAGTTGTTGTTTTTCTTTAATAGCTGTAGATCTTGAAATTGAAGGTCGGATGGAAAGTTATTTGAATGAGAATTTCGGGGACGTGAAGCCGAAGAACTCGTCGGAAGAAGCGCTTCAGAGATGGAGGCGGCTTTGCTGGTTGGTGAAGAATCGTAGAAGAAGGTTTCGATTTACTGCTAATCTCTCTAAACGATTTGAGGCTGATGCTATTAGACGCTCCATTCAGGTCTCTCATTGATTCTAATTCTTGCCCCCCTTATCATATTCTTGAACCTAAGAACTTGATGTAGTAGGTGGATGTTCTGAATACTGAATCCGAATAATTACTCCGTTTTCTTTATTTTTGTATCTTCAATTCCATGTATGGCCCAATCTGAATAACAGATTTCAATTCCATTTTGTCACAACTCGTGAAAATATGCAAGTGGATGTAGAAAGTATGTTCGAGGTGTTCATTATTAGTTTGTGATGGTTATGAAAGTTTTTGGACGGAGTATAGGTGTGATAACTAGTCACTGTAAACTTGTTTTTCACAATTTTCTAATATGCATCGGAGTCCCATCTTGAACAACAACAACTATGATCTGCAATTCGATTTTCTTTTCTTATCATGCTGAATTGTTCTTTTTCAACCACCGTTGCAGGAGAAGTTCAGAGTTGCAGTTTTGGTTTCACAAGCAGCGCTTCAGTTCATCAATGGTAATTAAGGAAGGTTTTGATTATGCGATCAACTGAAAACTGTGGTTATACATTAGTAATTCACGTTGAATTGTCTTTGAACGCCTGCAGGGTTGGATTTGTATCCTGATTACGTTGTGCCTGAAGGGGTCAGACAGGCAGGTTTTCAAATTTGTGCAGATGAAGCAGGCTCCATTGTTGACGGCCGTGATGTGAAGAAGCTGAAAATTCATGGGGGTGCAGAGGGTATTGCAACTAAGCTTGCTACATCAACGGAGACGGGCATTTCTACTACAGACCATTTGATAGAGAAAAGACAAGACATTTATGGAATTAACAAATTCACCGAAAGCCCATCTCGAGGATTTTTGCTCTTTCTTTGGGACGCTCTCCAGGATACAACTCTAATGATACTCGCGTTCTGTGCTGTAGTTTCCCTTCTTGTTGGCATAGCGATGGAAGGATGGCCGAAGGGTGCTCATGATGGGCTCGGCATTGTTGCGAGTATCTTACTTGTTGTATTTGTCACTGCTACCAGTGACTATAGACAATCGCTTCAGTTCAAGGATTTGGACAAGGAAAAGAAGAAAATTGCGGTTCAGGTTACCCGAAATGGGTTGAGACAAAAGATTTCTATATACGAACTTCTTCCTGGTGATATTGTTCATCTTGCCATGGGTGATCAGGTACCAGCAGATGGACTTTTTGTTTCAGGGTACTCTCTTCTGATAAATGAATCTAGTTTAACAGGTGAGAGCGAACCAGTTAACGTAAGTTGTCAAAACCCTTTCCTCTTGTCCGGAACAAAGGTTCAGGATGGTTCGTGTAAGATGGTTGTGACTTCTGTAGGCATGAGAACCCAATGGGGAAAACTGATGGCCACTCTAAGTGAAGGAGGAGACGACGAGACTCCTTTGCAGGTAAAGCTAAATGGGGTGGCAACAATTATTGGTAAAATAGGCCTGTTTTTTGCTGTCATAACTTTCGCTGTATTGGTTCAAGGATTGTTCACTCGCAAGCTACGAGAAGGGTCTTACTTCAGCTGGTCCGGAGATGAAGCAATGGAAGTTTTGGAATTTTTTGCTGTTGCCGTAACTATTGTTGTGGTTGCTGTGCCCGAAGGGCTGCCTTTGGCAGTGACACTGAGCCTTGCTTTTGCTATGAAAAAGATGATGAACGATAAGGCACTTGTCAGGCACTTAGCTGCTTGTGAGACGATGGGATCAGCTACTACTATTTGTAGTGACAAAACTGGGACATTGACGACTAACCACATGACTGTTGTGAAAGCCTGCATCTGCGGTAAGGTCAAGGAAGTTGGCAATTCTAGTAAGTGTTCTGATTATCGTTCAGAACTTCCCGACTCCGCTGTTGGTAGTTTACTGCAATCGATATTTAACAACACCGGTGGAGAAATCGTCAAGAACAAAGATGGCGAGAATGAGATACTTGGGACGCCCACCGAATCTGCTCTTCTGGAATTCGGCCTTCTGCTTGGTGGGGATTTTCAGAAAGAACGCCAAAAGTCAAAGATCGCGAGAGTCGATCCCTTCAATTCTGTGAAGAAACGAATGGGTGTTGTTTTGGAGCTCCCAGCCGGTGGCTTCCGCGCACACAGCAAAGGTGCTTCAGAGATCGTTTTGGCTTCATGTGACAAATTTCTTGACTCGAACGGTGAGGCAGCTCCTCTCAATGAAGAGTCCATCAGCTTTTTGAAGGAAACGATCGAAGAATTTGCGGGAGAAGCTCTTCGAACATTGTGCTTGGCTTACATGGACATTGATGGTGAGTATCAGTCTGAAAGTCCGATTCCCATGAGTGGCTACACGTGCATAGGAATTGTTGGCATTAAGGACCCCGTTCGTCCGGGTGTCAAGGAGTCTGTTGCGATTTGCAAGGCCGCCGGTATAACCGTACGGATGGTTACGGGAGATAACATCACCACCGCAAAAGCAATAGCCAGGGAATGTGGAATCTTGACTGACGATGGCATAGCAATTGAAGGTCCTGAATTCCGTGAGAAGGAGGAAGAGTGGAGTGAAATACTACCAAAAATTCAGGTACATTTAAAAGAATTTTGATTCTGAAACTATAATACTGTCATACATCCTCTTAATATTAACCCTGCAAGAATTGGTGTGCCGAAAAAATTTGGTATTTCTTGCTCAGGTCATGGCTCGATCTTCACCAATGGATAAACATACTCTTGTAAAGCACTTACGGACCACTTTTCAAGAAGTTGTTGCAGTGACTGGGGATGGCACAAATGATGCTCCGGCGCTCCATGAAGCAGATATTGGATTAGCTATGGGCATTGCTGGGACTGAGGTACTTTTTAATAGTCTTTAAGAGATAATCATGTTGAGGATGGTTGGAAAAGAGTCCCGATCATAAATTTATAAGTAAGGAATACATTTTCATTGATATGAGGCTATTTTGAGATCTGTGATTCGGGCATAAAACTATTAATTTAGCATTGAACATACTGTTGTTAAATTTTTGTTAGTGGGAGGTTCGGTGTAGTTGGATGGGTTTGCTGGTCAAATAATTAATCTTTTACCGAACATATTGTGTAGACACGATTTTTAAGTTAATGGCATAAAACGTAATGCAGGTGGCAAAAGAGAGTGCTGATGTAATAATTCTCGATGACAACTTCTCTACAATTGCTACTGTTGCCAAATGGGGACGTTCAGTTTACATAAACATCCAGAAATTCGTTCAGTTTCAGCTAACTGTGAATGTGGTTGCACTCATCGTCAATTTTTCTTCAGCCTGTTTGACAGGTTAGCTGACATTGATTTTTTTTAAGGTATAATATCCCTTGTATAAGTAAAAAGTTCAAGGACAATACTTCATTTGCGAGTAATATTTTCTCAGGAAATGCTCCCCTCACTGCTGTGCAACTGCTATGGGTCAATATGATAATGGATACACTAGGAGCACTTGCATTGGCAACTGAACCTCCTACTGATGACTTGATGAAGAGATTGCCAGTTGGTCGGAAAGGGAATTTCATCAGCAACGTGATGTGGAGAAATATCTTGGGGCAGTCAATATATCAGTTTGTAATAGTTTGGTTTCTCCAGACAAGAGGGCAGGCTCTTTTTCATCTTGATGGCCCAGACTCTGAATTGATACTGAATACACTGATTTTCAATGCATTCGTCTTTTGTCAGGTAATTTGTTTCTCCCAATTCTTTCCTTCTACACAGATGCTCGACTTCTGATACTAGCAGAATGGCATCCATGTTCCTGTTGATAAATTTCTGGTCCATGTAGGTTTTCAATGAGATAAGCTCAAGAGACATGGAGAAGATAAATGTGCTTGAAGGAATATTGAAGAACTATGTCTTTGTGGCAGTTCTCGCTTGCACTGTACTTTTCCAGATCATAATCATCCAATTCCTGGGAACATTTGCAAACACCTATCCTCTAAACTCCCAGCAATGGTTTGTCACCGTGTTGTTTGGATTTCTTGGCATGCCAGTTGCAGCAGCGTTGAAAATGATTCCGGTAGGATCACACTGAAACCGGTATCTTCTCAACTTAGAACTTTTCCAGCCGAAAATTCAAGATTCTTTTCCCAATTTTTTGGAGTCATTACCTCACGAAGTTTGATTTACGCTTACCTGAATTTTAACCATACCTTTTGTGAATCAATTAGACAAGCTACCAAAGCCTCGAGGTAAGGATAACCTTGTCCAGCTGGAGATCTTTCTTGTATATTTGGAGCCGGCTTTCCATTCCGTACTATGGTTTTAGATTCAAGATAAGACACAGGCCACAGAGGAGAGACTAATAGAGAGAGAGAGAGAGAGAGAGAGAGAGTTCTTGGCGGTGCAGGGAACTGGGCTTATTTGTTCCAGTTCACGATGGTATGATTGGAAGCTGTGCCAACCATTGTTTCTTGGTTCAATTTGTTTGAGGGTTTAGAAAATTGCTGCGGGTTTCAAGCTGTGGTTTTTGTTAAACCAGAATGGGATCTTCTATGCATTTATTGAATTCGGTGTATTTGGATTCTTCTCTGTGATTTATTGCCTAGTTGTTTACTTTGTGATGAACATCATCGCTCAGATGATCAAAATCTACAGCTTTTAGCAGGTTTTCAGCTACATTTTCATTGTTTCACCCATGCCCCCTTAAGCTACGCTTGGTATAAGTGATCAAGGGAATGGTATTTAAGCTATGCTTAGGCTGATACAAGAAGATGACTAGCCATGGTATTTGTAGTTGTGTAAATGCCTGAACTTAGTCTGTGAAAGTTGTAAGGAGTCCTAATGAACTATAGTGACTAACTTTGAGAAAGGATCAAACCAAAGATGTAAATGCTGATATGGATATTCTACCATTTGATTCCTCGACTATTGTATCAGTTGTCTTTCAATGGTAAATTGGGCCTTTCACTTTTCCTTGAGAGGAAGGAGGGCTCACCAGATGCAGGAGCGTAGCAAAAGGCTGAAACAAGAATGCACTTTGACAGAGAAGCCAAATCTCTCTCTTTCCATCTCTCAACCATACTTCCGATTGACAGCTCAAGCTTTTGGCACCGCCCATACCCTTCAATCAACAAACTAAAGAAGAAAGCATTGCAAGGAGAAGGTTCCTTGAAAAATAAAGCCTTTGTCACTTCATCAAGAAACATCACTCTCAAAGACTACTCAGTCAGTCATCTTTTCTTTTGTTGTTTTTCTCTCCTTTGACAAATCATAGCCAAACTACTCCATGGGATGGTATCAACACCCCACCTTCCAAAACCCCTTTGCCATCACTGTCTGTATTCTACATTCAAGAAAAGATTGCAGTCGACCAACGTAGCTTGTGAGTCACTTAGCCAGTGTTGGATATAAAAATATGGGTGTAGAATTACAGTAGCTTTTGATGGGTATTCTTTTTAAAGCCAATAAGGGGAATACGCGTGTCAAGTTGCATGGGAAATAGGCATCCTATGCCAAAGAGAAAGAGAAAGAGAAAGTACCATTGTGGTAGAAGTACTTAATCTTCTTTTGCTATGTGTTTTTTTGACTGCACAGCTTGGATTCCCATTCAGCAAAACAACAATTCTACTGATAGCTGCAAACAGTATCCCTAGCAATCTCTGGGACGTCAACCTGATCTGACCATATCTCCCCCTTGCCTCCCATCCATAGGACTCCCTTTTTTGTTTGCTTCCTCTCTCTCTCTCTCTCTCTGGTTGGTGAATGTGAATGAAGAAGACTCTCTTTACCGTAGTCTTGGTAAATGGGTAAATCTGTAAATCTGTTTGTAGTTTCATCTTTCAATTGACTTTCATTCCCCCATTGTTGGGATGTTTATCTTTCTGTAAAAGCCAAGGAATTATTCGCTTAGACTTTCACTGCTGCCTCCAATCCATCAAGTTTCATTGAAGGTTGAATTTGAGTTTCTGGTTCAAGTTCAACAAACAAGGTCTTAGGAAAACAAAAAACCCAGCTGAAGCTTTTCTTTTTGCATTCTTTTTTCAGGGAAAAGAGCTTGGCCCCACCTCGAAAGGCTTGCCCCAAACATTCAAACATATCCAATCACTTTCACCTTTTACAAAGAAACATTTTTGAAGGCTAAAACGAAGCAAAGATGCATCAAATCACAATAAAACAGAGCCTTGTCCATCACTGCTCAGCTCTTTTGAACACTCCCCCCCCCCCCCCCCCCCCCC